CACAGTGAAGGGGGGCAGGGCATGGGGGAGGAGGGGCGGGGCATGGGGGAAGGGGGAATAGGTGCAATGGACAGAGGGGTGAGGGGGCAACAGGAGGGATGGAAAGGTGGGGCACCGGGGAGACACCACTCAATACAATGTATCTGTAAGTTAATCTCACAGCAAACCTACAAAAGCTGAAATTTTCAAGGTGAGAGAAACATTTTAAAAGCTGTTTATGCAATGACTACCTAACAAGAGGGGCAAATAAATACCCTTCCAAACACGACTACCTTCTCTGCCAAAAAAATAGTGTAAAGGAATAAAAAATGGCATCAGTTCATCTGCCTGGTTTCCAAACCTTTTAAAAATGCTTTCTAAACTGTGCATGACTCTACTGTCATAGCCAAAAATTTCATTTCCCTATCAAATACATCTAGTTTGAGGTTGCATTTATTACGTTACATTTATTTAGCAAATAATTTTGTCTAAAGTACAGGTGAGGACCAGCCAATGCCGTATTAGGGCCCAATCACATCAATCACGTCAATCACATCAAACACCTCACCATGTAATTGTGTTTTATGGCGCATGCACAATAATCACCAGGTCTTCAGATAACGGGTGAGACATTTGTCCGGACGCCGGCTTTTCGGTACTTAACAGACATTTACTCACACTCCACAACTTGGTTAGCAGGTTAGTAATACGTCTAAAGTATTAAGTAAGTATCGTGAAGCCCAAAAGTCAGTAGTCTGTACAAATTCAGCATGTCCTTATGCTTATTAACGTCAGTGAGCGAAGCCCCATGCTGTTGTTTCAGTAAATCATTGTGGATATAGAAGGTCAGTGGTGTGACGTGCTTTCTGCCCTGGCCATGACTACGCATGTGACATGTAACCCCGATTACATCCTGACGTGATCCCGAAAGCCCTGGGCCCAATACTGATTTTTGTATTTTGCCAGACATGGGATATGAACCTGTGACCTTCCGGGCAGGAGCGCAAAGCTGCAGTTCTTTAAGCTACACTCTGTTAGCATATTTTACAACATTAATGGATAACAGTAAAAAAAAAAAATCGCACACTAATGCTACCTTTAGTTCCTGTACAGAGCTGCCGTTTATTTCCATTTAACATTTTGATTTCATCCCAGACCAAACCCTTAAAATCATGAAGAAGGCTTAGTTTTATCAGTTCGGACAACTTAAGGGCAATATTTCATTGCTTCATCCGTTAAAAGACAATGCACAGCTATGCCAAGCAGAGAGCCTGGCGGAGGTGGAGTCTGTCCTGATAGCCACACTTTTTAAGTATATTAATGTTTTGGATTCTAGTATGACACTTTTAAGACCTTCTGTGACGTCTGAGATTCCAGAGCCTTCTAATGTATTACATTACACGCTTCAACACGGAACACCGCTATCGTCACAGAGGCTGAAGCACCGCTACATGTTTAGGCACCGGGCTGCTATTGTTTATATGTTACTCCATTGTTTACATATTTTTGCCCACAGCTGGCAGAGAAACGCTCGACTATCATTGCCCCTTAGTCACAAACTCATGACCTTAACGTACTGGCTGAATGTTGCTAAGTTCCAAGTTGTATCTCTGTTAGTGAAACTCTTGCGTCTAGCTGAGTATCCTGCTAACTGAGCTGACTAGCTTTAAACAGGGTGATAATGTCTATAAAGAATAAATGCCTTTCACGTAGAAACACATCAAGATCCATCTGTCCCAGAAGCACATCGACTATCCTACACCGCTCCAACTCGCTGAATGCTCTTAACGTTACTCTGTGTCTGCTGATTGGAACACTGGTCTTATTAGGTTCTTGCTTTGTTTGGGAGATGTTGTGTCCCTCTTACTCCAATCCAGCTTACACTCGTACCTGGGCATTCACTGGAAGCTCAGTCTAGCTGCGCTTATGCCTAGCTGACATCTTGACAGCTGTATGTTTGTCGTGTGCTATCTGTACGTCACTTTGCACAATAGTGTCTACAAAATAAAGCAAATGTAAAGTACTTTAAGTGCACCATGAGAGTCTGGACTCACCCTGCTCACCTCACGCAGTTCGTCCATGGCGGCCACCCTTGCCCTCTCCAGCGTGCTCTGCCAGCGCTCTGGCGCCTGATTCAGCCGGTGCTCCAGCTTCTCCACTTCCTAAGCAGGGAGTCAGAGTCAGAGCGGGGCTTTGCTGAGTACTACTCCTTCCTAAGCAGGGAGTCAGAGTCAGGGCTTTGCGGAGTACAACTCCTTCCTAAGCAGGGAGTCGGAGTCAGAGCAGGGCTTTGCGGAGTACAACTCCTTCCTAAGCAGGGAGTCGGA